TAATAATAGTAATAATAATATTTACAAATGTCTGCACTCAGTTCCAAGAACGATTTGAACGAAGTATAAATGTAATAGTGTGGTGATGATGTCGTTTTTATTGTTTAAAACACGTATAGGCACAAAAGAGGGAAGACAAATATATATGATTATTAAAAAGGTGTAAATCATTCTCAGAGATATCAACGAATATGTCCCTGCAATGTTAAAAACTGTGAAAAGAAAAAAAGTGGATCTGCACCAAAAGTTTTGAAGAGTTCTTCTCTGGGCCAAGTCCCAATCCTTCACAAAATCACTTCAGTTATTTTAGTGTTATCCTGCTTGAAAACCAACCAACCAACAGACGGGTGAAAACATAACCTCCCTGGTGGAGGTGAGAAGTGCCAGAATGAAGACCAAACCGTTGGCACAGTGATCTTTCTGGCTGCTTCATAAAGTGCTGGGTGATCTGCAGTCGACTCATGTGGTGCAGAAACACACTGAAAACAGATCAAACACACTAGTGGAAATACTGTAAAAGCAAACTTTCATAATGAAGAATATTGTAGAGTGAGGAGCTGTGACTGTGTTCAGGTGAGCTCACTGGACCAAGATGTGGCTCATGATGCTGATCACACTCTGCAGCTCTGGAGGCAGCAACAGAGAGGACGTCACACATCACATTAACTTTAAGATGTGAATTAACTTTAAGATGTGAATTAACTTTAGATTTAGATTTAGATTTAGATTTAGATTTCCTTTATTGTCCCTCAGTGGGGAAATTCACATGTTACAGCAGTAGCACAAGATTTAACTCCAAAGAGAGGACAAACAAACAAGTAAACAGAAACACACAACATCAGGTAGTATATATAGCAGCAGTTGTACATGGGCAAATAGCAAAATTTTTAAATTGTACTGTGGTTATTGCAGTGGTTAATTGCACATTGCGTGTGTGAGATGTAACTAACTTTGAGATGTAAACTAACTTTAAGATGTGAATTAACTTTAAGATGTAAACTAACTTTAAGATGTAAATTAACTGTGAGATGTTTGTAACATCAGGCAGGAAGTTGTTAAAGCACATTCACGTTATCACAAAGTTTAACTAAAAACTATTTAATTTACAGCTGCTTTGTTTTCTAAACTTATTTCCTGGAAATTATACATTTCAAAGATAGAACGTTAGGTAAGTGTACAAATCTATCTATCTATCTCTCCATCTATTTCTCTATCCATCTCTCTCTGTCTCTCCATCTATTTATCTCCCCCTCTCTCTGTCTCTCCATCTATTTATCTCCCTCCCTCCCTCTCTCTCTCTCTCCCCCTCTCTCTCT